CAAACCTTTCACAGAGTTTTCTTGGCAAGATTAATTCAAAGGAGTTTTTGCACTTGCTTTCCTCCAAGGCTGAAAGAATGCAACTTGTCCAAGGTCACCAAATGGGCTTCCATGGCTGAGTGAGGATTCAAACCCTGATCTCCAGAGCCAAACCACTCCCCAAAACCCAGGCTATATTGGCTAGATCTTTTCTGAATTCTAATACAACAAACTTTCCAAGATTGGAATCCATTAATCTGCTGCACATTTTGTCTCCTTTACCTTCAGCAAGCACCTAAATATATTTACCCCAGATTACTAAGGCTGAAGCCTTCTATGTTCAATGGGACTTATATCCTAACAAGTGTGTTTAGACTTGGACCCGTAATGTGATGCCATTCCAAAACAACTTTTTGAGCCTGATTTATAACCTTCTATAGCAGCAATAAAGAATGTGTATAACTCTCTGGGTACTATTGATGCAGAATTATGACTGATTCACCATTAATTGGATAGGACTGAAATTGCAATCTAACAACATCTGCCCACATTTGATCTATAGCAACATGGAAGGCTCTAATATTTCTAGGCATCTGCTCCATTCTACCAGGAACTATTTGGCCTGGACCTCAAAGGCCTTGAATTCTTTTTATTACTATCTGTATTCTGAAACTCACATTATTTCAGAAATATATTGCTATAGGTGATTTATGTGGCATCACAGCATCAATTACAGAAAATAGGATCTAGTACCCATCACCATGGGGCACTTTCACGATACAAAGTATAGCACAAAAATACATAGGCAGCATCCTAGGGAATCCTGGGATTTGCAGTTTAGGGAGGGACATTTGGAATTCCCAGCCAGAGAGTTCCAGTACCTGACCAAACTACTGTGATTAGTTGCTTGATTCCATGGCATTTTTGTTGTGTACCTTCCATCATTTCCAACTTATGATGACCATTAACTGAACCTACAACACTGTTTTCTTGGAAAGATTTGTTTGTAGGGAGAGGCCACTATGGTTTTTTTTCTTTGGCTGAAAGAGTATAAGTGGTCCAAGGTCACCTACTGGGTTTGTATGATCAAGCAGGGATTTGAACTCTCATCTCCCAGAGTCCTAGTCCAATACACATGCCACCACGCTAGCTCCTCCTCCTCCTACTCTCTAGCAGTATATCATATTCCTTTCAAACCAGAACTGAAATATTGAATGGGCTATCCAGATCACAGTATTAAAAAATTAAGTTTTCTCCTCGTAAATGAGGTCTATATATGCTAGTAAATGAGGCCTAAATACCCCAAAGCAGTGGTTCTCAACCTGTGGCTCCCCAGATGTTTTGGCCTTCAACTCCCAGAAATCCTAGCCGGGATCCTAGCTGGTAAACTAGCCGGGATTCCTGGGAGTTGTAGGCCAAAACACCTGGGGACTCATAGGTTGAGAACCACTGCCCTAAAGGCACCAGTTCCCATCTGATCTTGGAAGCTCAGCATAGATAGGTCTGGTTAGTACTTGGAGCTTTAAGGCAACATTTCAGAGGAAAGAACTGGCAACATAATCTCTTGAGTATTCCTTGCATAATTAAACTCTATAAAATTCGTGAGATCAACATAAAATGGGCAGGTGACTTGAAGGCTCATACACACACACACACAATGGAACGATTACAGATACAATGTGTAAAAGAGTATGTGATGTGACAGATGGAATAGTAATCAGGTCAGTAAAAACAACTGCAAGAACCAGGGGGTGAGGAGTGGGGGGAGAATTGCAATTTCCCTGCAATTTTCCCCCTGGCTCATGCAGTATGTATAACTAACAAAGAATTGGGGTCAGTTGGGAGGAGAAAAGCCGAGCTGCTCACAGATTCATTGACACACTTTCCTGGGAGATGGACTGATGGCAAGCTCTGCTTGAGGGAAATCCTGAGAAAAGAAAGGAAGATGAGAATTGGAAATTCCCAAATTGGGCATCATGAAAACATGCTGGGGACAAAGGAAATCTGACACCAGGTTTCAAGAATCAAATTGCCAATTTAATAGTTATAAATAATAATAATAATAATTATTATTATTATTTATTTGTAGACCACACTAATAAAGCAAATGCAGCCAGCTCTTGGTATCCACTGAAATTTCATTTCTGGACCTCCTATAGATACAAAAATCTGTGGATGCCGAAGTCCAATTATATATAATGGCATAATGAAACGGCGTCCTTTATATAAAATGGCAAAATCAATATTGGTTTTTAAAAAATATTTCCAGTCCATGGATGATTGAATCTGTGGATACAGAATCTGGGGATATGGAGGGTCAATTGTGCCAATGTTATCACCATGACCATCCAATGGAAAGTTTACAATTGTTTGTGTGATATTCCATGTATTCATTCCTAACAGCTCATATTCCTAATATTCCACTCATTCCTTGTCCTAACAGTAGTTATGTATGATAAAGCTGGTCATAACAGTAATGATGGATGGCAAAGGTACTGTAGAAATATAATTATATAACTAAAAATGGTCACGCTATTGTGTGTGTGTGTGGGGGGGAGAGGTTAGTACATTAACTTTAAAAAAGTTATGTAGAATTGGATATAAATCTTTAAATAAATGTAATAAAATTCCATAGAAGATCCTCACAGGAGCTAATTCCAATATCTCAAACTGGGCAGATATTTAGACACTCACACATTACAAAAATGCACAGGTCCTTGTGTGAATAAAACATGATGCAAGCATTGGTCCTGCACAATTATGGCAGAGCTTCAGCCCTGCATCTCTTTCAGGCACAAGGAGGCAGCTCTCTGAATTGCAGCTGTTTGATGGAAAATCGAAACCTTCCTGAACCATTCTGGATGAACACAGAAGCTTTCTGAGGCATTTGCTTTTGAAAGAGTTCATTTAGACAGCTTTTTATAACTTTGCATTTCACCTTTGATAAATATGCCAGCAGACATGGAGACAATTAAAGCTAGGTGCTTCTTTGATCAAACTGACTTACGTTGACTGAAACAGTTGTGAACAGATTATGCCATTTCATTTACAGACTGATGCAAAGTGGAGGCAGGGATGGCACTTGCACTGTGCTTCCAGCAAAGCAGCTTCAAATTGCTGCATCTCAAAGGATGGAGCAAACTGTGTGTGTCTTTATTGACCAAGATAATCTAGTGTTTTAGAGTAGCATCACATATCCTCTACCCACCATTTCACAAAACTGGGACATGTGTTTCCGGGCAATATCAGTGTGTGGCCAAGATGACAAAAACTATGAATGATGAACACACAAACTAAGGCTGCATCTACATGAAAACAAAAACATAATACACATCTGCTGCTGCTAATATATGAGATCTCTGGTAAGTATATCCAGTTCTTGGCCCTTAAACTGACTTTACTTTGCACTAAGCAAAGTTGGGGGCTACTCCGGAGGGTGTAGGAAGCTCTGATGTATCTATGGGCTTTGTGGATATCTGGATCAGGCCCTGTTCAGTTCAATATGTTGTCCACATACACACTGCCATCACGATAAGCACAGGGAAGGAGGTGAGTTGTCCCTGTGCCACCACTCCTGTCCCTTGATGGCCATGAAGCCCCCTATGAGCACTTGGCCATTGCAGTCACATTTGCTGAGCGCAGAATGGGGTGCCCTTTCTGATTGTACAGGCACTCCATTAAGACCTCAAGAGATGCAACCACAATGGCAATGTGCTTTCAGGGAACTCCTTGGTTGGTGACAAGTGGTGGCACAGTGGGATTGATCCACTCTTGACCTGGTAAACATCAATGGGGCATTGCAAAGTGAGCATGATGGCCCCAGATTGAGCCATCCCATCGAGAACATAATGCTGAGTCCTAAGAGAAACTGTAGCAGTTTGCTTTTGCCTATTCCTGCTGGGAAGGGCAGGAATCTGCCCTCTAGTGAGTTGGCATGAGAGAAAATTAAGTGGAAGTGTCCCTGCCAAATTTTAACAGTTGGAATATCTATATACTCCAGCAGATTCAGGATGGCTCTCATAGGAACACAGTTTGGCAATGCTCACCCCAGCATTAAGCTTAAGCTTTAGAGGAAAAGGAGCAAAAGCTTTTCCATAAAGTAAATAGATAAATGGGCCCATGTATTACTTTGAAATGGTACATGTGCAGCCAAGTGGTGCAGTTGTAATAGGGCATACTTTCTGTTGACTGGAAAACGGAACACATATTGTCAAAACACTAATGTTTCTACCCTAAAGTGGTAAAAGGCCATTTTGACAACAGATATAAGAAGTCTACTTTACTAGACTCCTAGATAGTGGTGAGCAAAATCAATCTCTCTGCATCCTGTTCTCCCTTGTAGGTCTGTCACTGATGTCTGGGCCAACCAATACCAAAGATGATGCTCAGGTTTGTCCCTTTTGGTTAGGCCCTACTTGTAATCAATTGATTTGGTTCTACAAACCCAATGGGAACCACTGAAGGCTATAGCAGTGCTAACTCTTCACCCCCACTTATGCCATGATTTCCTTTCCTGATAATGACAGCATTCAAGAGAAAGGAGTTACTTACTACATGCTCTTTGAATAACACAGACATGTTATTTTTTATTATAATTCTCACAAAAAGCATGCTGACTGGCAGCTTCTGTGAGTCCAAAAATTAACTTTTCCCAACTTTGTTCATTCATGTGGAAACTAGCGTGTAGGAATGTTTCCTAGCAGTTACTTTTTGGATCATACTTAGCAGATTCTTGGTGAAATAGCTTTAAAGGAGAAGCAACCACCCAGTTGTTACTGTAGTCCCCCCCCCCCCCCCCCCCCCCCCCCCCCCGCTTTGGCAGATGTACAGCTCTGATAAGACTCAAAAGATAAGATGACCTTTGCTAATTAGTCCAATCTCTTCTGGGGTTGTTAGGAATGGCAGCAGGGGAGTCTTTGTAATTTAAATGTCTCAAGAGGACATCCACCCTTGAGTATACTTTCTTGTATCACATGCATCAGGCACTGAAATAATAAAAAGTAATAATAAAAAGGCAGCCATTCAATATCTTGATCTTTATTTGTTTTAAAACAGTTGGAGTTTATTTTTTAATTGCTTGCTGTTTTCATTAAACACTTGTTACAGAGATTAGATCTCCAATTAAGAACAAAGTTCAGAGAAAATTCTCCAATAGGAAGTAAAGCATTTAAATCCAACCTCACTATGGATCAAGTCGTGGGTGATGAGAAAGACCCTTGTCAGCTTGAGACCCTGAAGAGATTCCGCCAGTCAAAGTAGGCAACATTGGCTAAGAGATGCCACATCAAGAAATTGCGGGCTCTTTAACTTTTCCCCTTTTCCAAGACATGCTCCTCTGCTGATCTGTGCTTGTTGAGTCAACTACAAGAGATCTCACAACCCCTGAGGATGCTTGCCATGGATGCAGGTGAAACGTCAGGAGAGAATGCTTCTAGAACATGGCCATATAGCCCGAAAAACCTACAACAACCCAACCACAAGAGACTCAGATTAAATTTCAAGCCCAAAGTGTGATGGTCATGTTGGGGGTTGTAAATGTAAATGAACAGAAGCATTACCACAGTTTCTGAACCAAGATATACCCTGCAGTATAATAAAGTGTCACTCAGGCTCATGTAACAAGTAACAGTATTTTTACTTTCATTCAAAAGATCAAACAGGGCAACAAGATATACAGCAGTCTATCTGAATTCACATAGAGAAAAGAGGGAATAAACAATCCCTTTAAACAGTTTTTAAATATGCCTCATTTACTTTATAAATAATCAGGTTTCTGAGAGTTGACAGCCATTTCCTTCCTAGCTATTTCCAGTCAGGGCTCTCTTCCCACTCTTGGGTGAAAATGGCAGTTAAAACAGTTTGTCTCAGCAGCAATCCAGAGACAGCCAATCAGAACTCCAGCTCCTGGCATGCTCTGCCAATCAGCTGCCTACACGTCTTTCCAGTCAACTCATTTATATCATGGTGTCTCTTTACATTGAAGTGAACATTTACATGCATGTGTATAGAAGTGAACATTTAGATCAAGGGTGGGAATGTCACCCACTAAATACTGTTGGACTGCCACTCCCAATATTCCTCTATGTTAGTTTGAGATACTGGGAGTTGCAATCCAACAATATTAGTGGAGGGGGGGGGGTTGCCCAATTCCTATATCTGGTGTAGATTCATGCATAGCCAGAAGCTTAATTCCGTACATGGAACAGAGTAATGTGTGCCCCTAAGCAAATAGAGAAACCAAAAATGAAATGTCCTCGGAAATGTCCTCAAGGTTTGTTTCTATTATCAGAAGATTGTTAAAAGTAATCACAACTCTAAATAGTCACTTACAATCACTCTTCTTCACCTCTTTCATTAAAAATGCTTCCTTCACTAGTCCAGCAGGAGGCTTCTGTTCAAAGGCATTGCATACTTGCTGCTAGGTCTCATGAATATGGATAAATATGCTAATCTTCTATCTCAGTAGTCTGCACACAGATCAGGTTTAGGAAAATAACTTTTTGGCTATACTGGCCAGGAGTATCTGAGAGTGGTAATTCCAAAAAGGTAACTTTTTCTCTGAGTTTAAATGGAAGAAAGTCTACTTGAATTCAGTGCAACAACTTATATATTCATATATATAAGTCTAGAATTTTTAGTCAAAATTTACCCAAAAAACCTGGGTTGATGTAGTAAAGGTAAAGGTTTTCCCCTGACATTAAGTGTCCGACTTTGGGGATTAGTGCTCATCTCCATTTCTAAGCCGAAGAGCTGGCGTTGTCCGTAGACACCTCCAAGGTCATGTGGCCACTGGCATGACTGTATGGGTTGACTTATCCACAGGCTAATGTAAGGAGAGTATATTTTTCAAAAAAAAGGAACCATCCCCTTCCATGAGCAGAATGGCGAAAGATAAATGCTTCCTGCATCCTGGGAGATCCTAAAACAATGGTTCTCAACCTGTGGGTCCCCAGGTGTTTTGCCTACAACTCCCAGAAATCCCAGCCAGTTTACTAGCTGTTAGGATTTCTAGGAGTTGAAAGTTAAAATATCTGGGGACCCATAGTTTGAGAACCAGTTCCCTAAAAGATGCAGTGGTTCCGTCTACATTATCCACTATAGCACTGCTTTTGCCATTTTTGATGCCTGGGTGGGAAATGGCAGTGGCAGACAGGGGCAGCTGACCCCTTTTCCATAGAATAGCTCTCAGCATATCCATAATTTTGGCTCCAAAAACTGCCCTCATCTTATCCACAAGGTCAGCTTGTACATGAGTAGAAATGGTTCTTCCAGAGATAAAGTATACAGCTTAAGTCAGTCAGTGAGCATTTAAAACAAATTTCATGACTAGAATGAAAGCCAAAACCATATACGAGTTGAGTATTCCTTGTCCAGAATTCAAAAATCTAAAATATTCCAAAACTAAAATTATCCACATGGATGGCTGATATAGTGACACCATTACTTTCTGATAGTTCAGTGTACACAAACTTTGTTTCATGAACAAAATTATGAAAAATATTATAAATAACTGTTTTTCGGCTATGTGTATATAAAATGTATATTTTTAGGTTTGAGTCCCATCGCCAAGATTATGTCTATATATAACAATATAATTATTCCAAAATCCTAAAACATCCGAATTCCGAAACACTTCTGATACCAAGCATTTTGGAGAAGTGATACTCAACCTGTATTCACTGTCTGTCATTTTATATAAGCAGCATCTCCGAATTTGATAGGGTCATCATATGTCTGTGAAATAAATGAAGTTGCCCATTACAAATAGCAAGTAATGCCTTGACCCAAACTCTCCCTTTTACTCTGACAGCCTGCATTTGTCACATCAAACCAATCAAGAGATTGCTTTCATTTTAGATCAAGGCTGACTCTCTAGAAGTGCCTTGAGGCAGACAGGTAGTGTGCGGTCTTGGCCTGCTACTGTGAGCTGTCTCATTGATCCCAGCTTTGCGTGTCTATTTCAGCTGCACTCTCTTAGAGGTCACAATGAACCAAATGATACAACTGCACAGAGCGAAAGGCTTTGCTCATCTGGAATGAATCAGCTCTCTTTCTGCCTCGGTGAGGGAACAAGACCTGCAGTGCGGTTTCTTTCTTTCTTTCTTTTCTTATTTTTTTTCTTTTTGTTAACTTGTCTCTGATCATCCCAGAAGAACTGAAACATATTTACCCACAGAAGCCATTGCTGTTCAAAAAGCTGTGTGTTCATACATCATAACAAACTATGATTTGGCTTGTTGTGATTTTTGAATCTGCCCCTGCCAAAAAAAATGGCTTGTCAATCAGCCATAATACAAAATCCAAATCTATGATTTGTTGTTTTATGAATTCTGGTTTGTCTAAACTGTCTCTTATTATGACATCCAAACTCACAACCATGACTTGCTGCTAGTGACGGCTGGCGATTTCTATGTTTGTGGGACATTGAATTTAGTCTGAACTTTATAAGAACTATCTAAGGTGATGAATCTGTTTAGGGGATAGAGTTCAGTACCATGGACACATCTTTACAGTTCATACTAAAATCCAGAGTGATTTCACTGTGCCACTGACAGGTGAGACACCACCAGCTGCAAGTACCAACATGTTACCTTAAAATAAAACCTGACAAAAGGGACAGCAAAAACAAGCAAGAAATAGGGAGGATAAATCGCTGTTAATTCGGTTGTTTGCTGTACAAATCAAAGTTTAAACAACCACGATTAACACAAAACATGGCTTATTGTGAGTAGCTGTGTTCCATGAGCACCAATATGTAGTTGACTATTTTTGAAATTGCCCAGCTTTAAAGCAGAAGACAGTCAATATTTTGCAAACCTATGTTCTAGATTTAAGCTGCTTTTAAAAATCAATTCTGTCTTTATGGGGAATCAAAGAGGCTCTGTAAGGAACTGAAAAATCGTCAGCCCCTTTTTAAATCAAAATTCCCAAGGTTCTTGTATAGAATATATACATATTATATACACACAGACCTTCCCTGTGTGTATGCGTGTGTATGTATGTGTGTGTGTATAGACAGAGTAGAGTCTCGCTTATCTAACCTTTGCTCATCCAACTTTCTGTATTATCTAACACAGTCTGCCTCGCACCCAGATCCACAGCTGTTTCAATACATTGCCATGTTTTGGTGCTAAATTCGTAAATACTAGGGCTGGGCAACCACGGAAAAATTTGTTTCTAAACTCGATTCGTTTTTTGGGGGTTTTTGCGTTTCGATATTTAAAAGAATTCCGAAATTTTTCTTTAAAAAAGTTCGATATTTACGAAATTTCGTAAAATTACGAAACAATACGAAACGAATACGAAACGAATACGAATCAATTTGTTAATGGCGGACGCGACCACGCAATACGCTAAAAAACCTCCATATGGGACAGGGGGAACTTTTGAAGCTTCCCTCTCCCTCTGTTGTTGACTGTTGGTGTGATATTTATAATTTTTTTTCACTGATTAAACAAACAACAGCTATAAAACTTGCCCCAGACATGCGGAAATAATAACGAAACGATTTCGAAACGATTTCGAAACGAATACGAAACGAATACGAAGCAATTACGAAACGAATTGAAAAATTCGTTTCGTTTTTAAGATGCTCCTGAATGGTTCAATATCGCTTCGTTATAAAAAAAATAACGAATTTTTAACGAATTACAAAATTACGAAACGAAACCGCCCAGCCCTAGTAAATACAGTAATCACTACATAATGTTACCATGTTTTGAACTGCTTTTTCTATCAAGTTGTTGTAAAACATGATGTTTTGGTGCTTAATTCGTAAAATCGTAACGTAATTTGACATTTAGTAGGCTTTTCCTTAATCCCTCCTTATTATCCAACATTTTCACTTATCCAATGTTCTGTCAGCCCCCATTTATGTTGGATAAGCGAGACTCTACTGTACACACACACACACACACAAATGTATATACGACATTAAGAGTCTTCCCCAACCCTATTTCCTCTAAATGTGTTAGACTGCAACTTCCATCATCCCCAACCAGCATGACCATGATCAGTTGCAGGATGCTGTCCAGTGCTTTAATCACAGCCTTCCGATGAGGAGAGACTTACATTTATCTGTGCATTGAGACATTGTATTTATGCTATCAAACAAAAGAACAAAGAATGGGAAGTAGCCTTGCACACCTGCAATATGGTATTGCAAATTCGTGAGCAAAAGGCAGAAATGGAATTGGCACAAAAAGACCTTTTTGTGTTCATTGTTGAGGCTTCTGTTATCATATCCCCAGTCATGTAGAATTCCCATAGATGCTGAAAGATTTAAGTAGTACACTCACCTCCTTCCCATGTATAACTTTCAAGCATCAACTCACAAATATAATAGATTCTGATCATAAGAGCTGTTGGACAACAAAACAAACTGCCTCAGAGAGTGGTGGACTTTCTCTTTACAGCAGTCTTTAAATAGAGGTTGAGTTGGCACCTGCCAGGAATACTTTAATTGCATATTCCCAAGAATTAAAGGGTTGAACTAAATGGCCTTTGCAGGCTATTCTATGATTCAGTGTCCAAGACTAGTGATGCTACTAGAGTCACTAGTAGCAAGGTGTTCCTGGGGCTGGAATTAACATAGCTAGAACGGGTCTCAGTTGTACAGCTGGTCCTTTGCAGAAACTGGAGGAAGTTCTCATGGATTGAGCCTTCTGGACTGGAGATGCACAGTTCTTGGCCCAAAGGCGTGCTGAGGCAATGTCGTCCCAGCTTGGCCAGCTCCTCCCTGATTTGACAGTTCAATAGCCCATAGAAAAAAGGGTTGGTGTCATGTAGTGCAGTAACTCATAGCGTCACCTCCCCACGCGTCAAGTGAGGAAGTGCAGTAACTCATAGCGTCACCTCCCCACGCGTCAAGTGAGGAAGTTATGTGCAGCAAAAGAAATAAGGTGTGATGCTAAAAGAGAACTGAGGCAGTTATTAAGAGTTTAAGGCCCAGCACAACTGGTGGCATGAGGCGGAGAGTGCACAGCTTTGAGGCTCACTATAAACCTATGTCCTGGAGATAACATGACACCAAGGATTTTAAAAAATAAATATTAAAAAATTTAGTTGAAACACTGCACAAAAAATTGAGTCATTTTGATGTCGCCCCCTCGAACTGTGTGACTCAATATGGTCCACCACATCCACACTTCTCTAATGACGCCACTATCCAGGGCAACCATATTAGAACACTTCCTGGAAATATGACTTTTATAGAAGGAGTAAACAGGAGTTACTGACTTACTATCGATCAAGAAAATCCTCCCACTTAACTCTCAATTGCTGAGGAAACGAAAACTTCTTCACACCCGTATAACAGTATTAAGGTGTTGGGAAAATGCATTTTTCACTTTCTGTTCACATCAATACATCCTACATGGGCTGTGGTTGCTCCAGACTAATAACATGAGTATGTGATGGATATGACAGTTCTCTCTTTCCTGATCTGTGCACCTTTGAAGCATTTAAAGTGAGCTATCACTGCCAGTACTCTGGAAGTTGGGCAGTTCTTCTCTTCAACACTGGACTGAAATCCCGTCGGTTAATCCCCAACTAGAGTAGACCCATTGACTCAACTGTTGAATAGACAGTAGGAAAATCCAATTGATTCAATGGGACTACTTGAGTCCAGACTAACAAAATAATTTAGACCCTGCAGTATACAATGGATTTTGAAAAACACCTTAAAACAGTTATAAAACAACCTGGCTTTCTATCTGCTACAAAGTCAGATCATCCCCCTTTCATTACAGGATCAGTGAGGAATAGCACCATTGGTTCTGGTAGGTATGTAACAGAACATTAGTGCTTTCAATAAGAACTTTGGAGGGATTTTCTGGAAAGTCCTTATGCACAATACTGTCTCTTTAATCTGAATTCAGTATTACATACTGGTCCCTGATAGGTTGTTAAGAATGGGTTGGACGGGAATTATCATCACCCATTTAATCACATTTGCCTCCTTATTAGAGAGAAAAGTAATTGTTCAGCTGCAGATTTCCTCCACAAAGGAGGCTCAGGATGTTCTCCCAGAGCCCTGCACCTTCTCTTCTTCCTCTTAAATCAGAGATGATTGGGAAGAAATGGAGGCAGGGACATGAATGTATTGTCCTTTGGTCAATTGGTTTCTTCAGGGATTTGTCCAGGAATTCTAAATCCCATTGCAGTCTGGTCCAAGGTGTTCCTGGGGCTGGAATTAACATAGCTAGAACGGGTCTCAGTTGTACAGCTGGTCCTTTGCAGAAACTGGAGGAAGTTCTCATGGATTGAGCCTTCTGGACTGGAGATGCACAGTTCTTGGCCCAAAGGCTTGCTGAGGCAATGTCGTCCCAGCTTGGCCAGCTCCTCCCTGATTTGACGGTTCAGTAGCCCATAGAAAAAAGGGTTGATAGCAAAAGAGGAGTAGGCAAGCCAGGTCACAACAATCTCACTATAACTAGATATTGAGGCAGGAGAGGTGAGGGAGCAGTTTAAGTGGAAGGAGAAAAATGGAAGCCAGCAAAAGAGAAATTGGCCAACAATGAGGACCAAGGTCAAGGCAGCTTTATTCCCCCCAAACCAGCGGTCTGGTGACAACTTGGGTGGCACATTCCTAGTTGTGATTATAGTAACCTGGCTGTGAAGGGAGTCTGATCTTTGTCTGGGTATGGTGGCAGTCCAAGATGGGACGGGCTGAGGTGCATGCTGTGAGGAAGCAATCCGGGCTACTTTGTAGATGCTGCCATAGACAGCAAAGATGATAACAGTGGGCACGATGAAGCAAAGGAAGCTGAAGATGATCACAAATACCTTTTTGTGGGCTCCAGGGCTCCAACAAACAGTACACTTGCTGGCACTGCTGGCACCATTATCTTGGGGCCAGCCAACCAGCGCCAAGGCAGCCACAAGAACAGACTTCACCCAGATGAAAGCCACCACAGTAATTGCTAACCCAGTAGTCATCTTGACTTCATACCTCATTGGGTGGACAATGTAGTAGTAGCGCTCAATGCTGATTACAGAGATGGTGAGGATGGAGGCACTGATGAAACAGACGTTCAGGAAGATCAGGGTCTGGCATTCAGCAATACTATACAGTACTCGGTTGAAGCAGGCTGAGCTGGAAATGATCCCCAGAGGCATGATGAAAATGGCAGACAAGAGGTCCACCAGGCAGAGGTGGCAGACAAAAATGAACTTCCTTAGCAGAGGTGTCTTGAGGATGACAACCATGACCGCTGTGTTGGCAACCAAAGCAATGACACTCAGCATGACCATGAAGAAAATACCAATCGCTTCTTGGAACTGGGACACACCAGCTGCATCCAGTCCATAGGTAGAGTTAATCCTCGTTCTGTTGACCATTGTATCTGAAGTCTTTTTCAAAGCCGCCTGAGCCTTACCTGCAAGAGCCACCAGTATATGCTTGGATCCTCTGTCACTGACACCATCTTCTCTTCTCGTAGTTCTTTATCTCTGCAGAGAACAGCAAAAATTTAACAACAAGCAATGAAAGGGAATGAATGTGCTAGAATGAAAGCAACTTGTGCCTGCATCATATTGGTTGCTCCAATTTAAATCAACAGTGAGTCAGCTCATAGACAAAACTTAATAGTTGGGGCAATCAATGGGGCTCACAACTTGGTGATCTAACATGCAACTCAAGGCTACTAACATTTTGGATGCTGCCATCCTATTAACACATTGATGCTGTAATGAGATAGTGATGAGTACACAAAGGGGTTTAGAAGTACATTTGAGACTGACAGAAAGAAGTTTGTAGCATAGACTTCCATAGGCTTGTTTTTGTTTTGTTTTTTTGTCGTGTCAGGAGTGACTTGAGAAACTACAAGTAGCTTTTGGTGTGAGACAATTGGCCGTCTGCAAGGATATTGCCCAGGGGACCCCCAGATGTTTTGATGTTTTATCATCCTTGTGGGAGGCTTCTCTCATGTCCCTGCATGAGGAGCTGGAGCTGATAGAGGGAGCTCATCCACGCTCTCCCCAGATTCGACCCTGTTACCTGTCAGTCTTCAGTCCTATCGGCACAGGGGTTTAACCCATTGCACCACCGGGGGCTCTTTCCATAGGCTGAGTATATATCATCAGATGCATGAAGTGAAGTGCTTGTTGATAGGCATGTGTGCCCATGAATGAGCAGATGCATGTGTGAATAGTAAAAGAAATGCAAAATGTGTGGGTATGGCGATGAAGTGGCAAGTTCCTCATTGGTGGTCCATTCATCTGATGAAGTACACTTAAATCTATGAAAGCTTATGCTGCAAACTTCTTTCTCTCCGTTAGTGTCAAAGATGTTTACAATATCCCTTTGCATGCTGATCCAGACTAACACGGCTATGTCTTTGAGATAGTTATGAGACAGTCTTCAATATACTGCATCAAAAACGTGCTCAAGACATCCAGTGAATCAAGTTGATAAAGCTGGGCAGAGTGGTATTGTTGCCTTCTCTGCCAAACACAAAACTACAGTTCCCACGATTCCATAGTATGAAACCATGGAAATTAAAGCGGTGCCAAACTGCATTAATTCTACAGTGCAGATGCACCCTTGGTGATGGTTTGATGAGCACATATTACTCCAGAAGCATCCACCCATTGGGCTCTGCAAACCTTTCTGGCTTCTCTGGTACCTATGAAGTCAATGAAAAATCCCTACCTTTCCTTCTACATTTTAGTCAAACCTGATTCTCAGATTTGTGCCATTAAGAAGAGATTTGCCATTGTCTCCCAGAAGAGCAGGACTGGCCCCTTTAAATGCAAAAGAAAAAAAAAACCCTGAAACCTAGCAAGGCTGCATTATGAAATCACTGCTGACACCAGTGCAGAAATTAATTTAGGAGGTATTCAGTGAGTCACGTTGGGCTGAGATGGAATATTTCTGATACACCTTTATCAGGGTCATCACTGAGAACCGACAGCGGTGGGTATTTTGCACAGTGATATCTCAGTAGGTGGAATAGTTTGCTTGTTTGGTTGCTATGCACTTTATCTTGCTGAACAATATGTGGCAGTTTCTAACAGACTTAATGCAGAGTGTGGATGTCCCTTTGTAAGAAATTTGAAGTCTCAACCTAGATTAATTTAAAATCAAGACTGAACTTTGTGGGTGGCTGTGAATAAGGTACCTCCCAAAGATCCCTGTGAGCGACCCTTTAGCAGTCACCATGTCAAGGATGGGAACCCACCACCATATTCAGATAAGGACAGATAATGCTCCCCCCCCCCCCAGTTGTAAAATGGAAATAACAGTAATTTATCTTCCATGTTTATTATGGGGATGGCTAGTACATTGTATGAGTTTTACACACAAAGAGGGATTATACTAGTTGTATTTAAATCAAGGTTCAGATGAAAGACTTGCATTCTTGCTTCGGCTATTAAGTGTGGATGTCTGCTTGGTATACAGTCACCCCTTCACATTTATAGGCTTAACTTTTGCAGATTTGGTTAATATGGTATCTGTAAAAATCTCTAGGTCATCCAATGAGACCAATGGTCAACTTCTGGAGGAACCCCCAGCGGAAGTTGACCATTGTGTTATACTGGGGGACCTAGAGATTCCTAGAAATGTGTTCTCTCAGGTAAATGTGTGGAGAGCTGACTTTTGGAAGCCACTTTCTAAACTGAACCCTGAGGATACATCCCCATCTCATACACACATGGCATCTATGTCTTTCAATAGGACTTTCTCTTCCCTCACACACCGCTCAGCCTGAAATTCTGCATTCAGAGCATAGGAATCAGAGTTGTCTGACCACTTCCTAGCTCCACAGATGCAACTCTCTGTTAGATATTTGCCTGTGTTTTTTTAGCAAAACTTCTGTAAATCAGTTGGCTTTCCATATTCATTTGTGCTAGTTTCAGGGCATGTTTGACTACAGGTACCTTCCTTCAAATTTTCTTTCCTTTGGAAAGGCACCATGCTTGAGAGCCCCAATTGTGTATGAAACACAATATTGTCCTCTCCCCACCAACATTTCACAGATTAGAGACATGTGACCAAGCAACACGAGAGTGTTGTCACAATGACAGATGTTACTAATAATAACACACAAGCTAGAAGAGGCTACATCAGCTTGCTTTTGCCTGAGCCTATGGGGAAGAGCAAGCTTCTGTCCTTCCTCCCCATCCTGCTAATTGACTGCAAACTACTGGTAGCTTTGCATTTTGAACTAATTTTCCAACAGAGGGAAAGTGACAGGAGAAGATTGGAACTGGGGCATTTTAAAAACAGCTGAAAAAAATGAGACACAAAAAGATTAATAGGTACTCCTCCTGATGAATTGGGACAGTTGGAGAGTATATATTCATGACTGTTATAGGCATTTTAGGAAAGTAACAGAGTCGGCAGTAATGACCACATCAGACATCAGAAAAGCTGCAAGACCAAGAACAAACTGCAAGAGTAAAGACAAAGCTCCACCCAGAGGAAAAATGTTCTTCTTACCATACATCTAGGGAACCACTGACCACATAGGGAAGCTGATGAAGAAACACAACCTACAAACTCAGTTCTTGTGGGTTTTTTCGGGCTATATGGGCATGTTCTAGAGGCATGGCCTATAGCCAGAAAAAACCCACAAGAACTGAGTGATTCCGGCCATGAAAGCCTTCGACATAACAACCTACAAACTATCTGCAGACCCACTAAGAAAATCCAACAAATGCTACGTTCAGCAAAGGACAAGAGGGATCCTCTCATCTCTGCAAGAGTCTATCCTATACCATGTAACTGGGGACAAATATAACAACAACAAGAACAACAACTTTATTTTTGTTCCCCCCTCCATCTTCCTGAAGGGACTCGGGGCAGTTTATGTATGGCACAACATGCCAAAACAAAGCATAAAACAAACACACAGTACAATACAACAAGGTAAAACTTTCAGCATATAAAAACAAAAGTTTAAAACTCAAAACAACACCCAGTGTCCTATGGTGACAACTACATAGGGACCATCAAACACTAGTAGAGGAACATGAGACACACTGCAGACTAATTCAACCCGAGAAGTCAGCCATAGCAGAGCACCTGATGAACTAACCTGGACACAACATGTTATTTGAGAACAAAGAAATGCTGGACCACGCTAACAACCACCATGTCAGAATACACAGAGAAGCTGTTGAAATCCACAAGCATGTGGACAATTTCAACAGAAAGGAGAAAACTATAAAAATGAACAAAATCTGACTACCAGTATTTTAAAAACACTAGATTCGAGACAGTAAATAAAGAGTAACACTCAGTGAACAGGGAGATTCCAGACAGGAAACAATCAGGACCCAGCTAACACCTCCCAAAAAAGGATGTCTAAAGCTGCTAATCAAGGTGGCCAATTGCAACATTCACACTTGTCTCAAACAGACAAGAGTTCTTTCTCCCACCATGGACATTCCACATATATATATAAACCCCACTTGCCTAGTTTCCAACAGACCCCCAACCTCTGAGGATGCCTGCCATAGATGTGTGCAAAATGACAGGAGAGAATGCTTCTGGACATACAACCCGAAAAACTCACAGCAACCCAATAACCCCATCATCAGAGGAATGACAAGAGAGCATATGGGAATCACCTTTCATATCATAGCTCAGAAAAACGTTGAACTTCCTTATGCTGTCTGACAAAGTTATTGCTGCTGTTACTTTTTGTATCCAATCTTCCTCCAAAAATCAAGACTCAAAGTGGTTTAGAAGTTTAAAAGAGCAACACAAAAAGTAAACATCATAATTGAAGTAGTCACAATGTTATATCGCAAATGTCTAGTGAACAGAAAAATGTACCGGTAATTAAAAATAAAAAGCCAATAAACTAGCAAAGCTTAGAAAAATACAGTATCCCATAGTCTGTTCTTCAAAGTATTTCTGGATCAAAGGCCTGTTGGAATAAGTGCTTTGTCTGCTGACAGAAGGACAGCAGGGAGAGGGGCATTCTGGCCTCCCTGGGAAGGGAATTCCAGAGTTTAGGAGCAACCACCAAGGAGCCCTCTCTCACTTCCCCATCAATTGTGCTTATGAAGGTGGTAGAATTGAGATAAGGCACTCTCGGGTCCCAAGAAAGCAAATAACACCCAAACTGCCCACCTTGTGTTAGATGTAAATCCCATCAAACACAGGGTGAATCATGTTCCCTGATCGCCTTTCCAACTGAACAGAAGCATCGCTCTGTCTTGTCTTGATTAAATTCAGTTTGTTTGCCCTCATCCAGTCCATTACTGAGGACAAGCACTGCAAATAAATATTGCAAGCGGAAGATCCTCTCTGTAAAGTCACCGTGTCCAAAATCTGTTGCACATGCTGAACAGCCGGGCGTTTGGGTTGGAACAGCACAGTATGCACAAATTACTACAGTTTCTTTCTGAGACAGCTCTGCTAGTCCCCAAGGAGGCTTGGCATGGAAAGGAGCTATATTATTCATGTGACCCACATTGCTGAAGCAGCATGGGATGCA